AGGGTTAACGGAAAGACGAAACACGGTATGGCATACTGAAATGGGAGTGGTGATGCAAATAGTAAAAAGTGCCAACGTATTTGTAAGTGATTTTTTTTACAAATTAATGGTTGTCGTAGAAGTCTTAAGAAGCCTAACTATAAATTACAGAGTTAGCGACATTAAATTCTCCTTAAATGTGAAACTAATGACAGCCGTAAAGTCGAAAGCATGAGAGTTGAGTAGTTGTTCGACGAGACCGGTTCCAATCGACGAAGATTTTGTATTGGAGAAGTATTATCGTGGCTACGCCAACAGATGATTGAGGGTGGTGGTGCTACTGAATCCATTTCAGAAAAGGGTAGTGGTGGTGTTATTGAATCCATCGTTTTATTATGCAAGCAGAATACAGTACACACGTACATTGCTTGTTACATTAGAACTTTCAAATAAATATTGTAAAACCCATGATTAATTATGATTGTTTAATGGTTATATCTTAACCCACAAACAATCCACAACGGTTCAAACACAAACTAAAAGTTGTAGTAAAAAGTAAGCGATAGAGTATCGATGGACGAAATGGGCATACTTGGGAGATTAATTTCACAAACAACTGAAATCGGGGTGCGGTTGCAGATCACAGTTTCTGAGTGCGGTTCTAACGGTAGCATTGAGGAAGTCATAGTCAAGGATATTGATTTCTCTGAGAGCTTTGCAAAGGCAAACTGCAGCCCCACCACCAAGATCACCAAAAAGAGACAAACTAAAAGTTGTAGTAAAAAGTAAGCGATAGAGTATCGATGGACGAATAATGGGCATACTTGGGAGATTAATTTCACAAACAACTGAAATCGGGGTGCGGTTGCAGATCACAGTTTCTGAGTGCGGTTCTAACGGTAGCATTGAGGAAGTCATAGTCAAGGATATTGATTTCTCTGAGAGCTTTGCAAAGGCAAACTGCAGCCCCACCAAGATCACCAAAAAAGAGGCAACACTCCGGGCTAGAACGACGAGGCAGGCTTGCATCTGTGGTGCATCAAGAAATCGAAGGGGCCGGAGCTTGAGAGCTAACCAAACTAAACAAGACAAGGTTAAGGGAAAGAAGAAAGAGAATCGTGGTTGAAGCCTTGAAAGCCATAACTGCAGCACAACACCGTAAAACTTGCTAAACTCCTGTGGGATTGTACGGTGCAGTGAAATGAGAGTGGTGACGCAAATGGTAAAAAATGCAAAGGTATTTATGGAAGGCAATGATAAACAAGATATAGATAGATCAATAGTTCATAACCACATATTAACCCATCATTTTATTACGCAGACAATACAGTACACACATATGTTACTTGTTACGTTGGAACTAACAAATAAGTATTGTAAAATCCATGATTATTTATGATTGTTTAATGGTTACGTACTAACCAACAAACAATATACAACAATTGAAAATCGAAACAGAAACTAAACGTTATGGTGAAAATAAATGATAAGAGTATCGATGGATGAATGATGGGCATACTCGGTAGACTGGTCTCACTAGCAAGAGCCGGGGAGCACTTGTATAGTACAGTTTCTGAGTTTGACATCAACCATAGCGTTGAGGACGCCGAGGGGGAGGTATAATTTAAGAAAATGCCACTTTTAGAAAATGCCAAGTATAATTTAAGAAAGTTATTTTCTAAGATTTTTATGCCCAAGACAATAACTTTTTTTTTGGAATTGAACTGCAAATGGGAAGTATAATATAATGCCACTTTTAACTGTATTAAGAGACTCAATCAAATGATTATCATAAATCAAAGAAAATACATGTACAATAAAAACATCAACCAGCTAATACCCCTTCATTTGCAAGCAAGTCAGCTTCTCTGCTAATAGCACTCGGTAGTTTCACTAATGTCAACTCTCCATCTTTCTAGGACCAAATTAACTATAATCCAAAAGCATATCCCAATCTAAACTTATTCATTTAATTATGGTTTTTATATTTGAGAGAGTAAATTGATTCATAGGGATTAAACTAATACAATTCTTATAGTAAAAGTATCTGATAGATGCTTTTACCTTTCGAAAAATTTATCCACAACTTTATCTAATAAAAAGGATAAACAAGACATAGATAGATCAATAATTATATTCATAACCACATATTAACCCATCATTTTATTATGAAAACAGAACGCAATACACACATACATTACTTATTACGTTGGAGCTTACAAATGAGTATTGTAAAGTCCAGGATTATTTATGATTGTTTAATGGTTGTGTAGTAACCAATAAACAATCCACGACAGTTGAAACAGAAACTAAACGTTACAGTAAAAGTAGACTATAAGAGTTTTGATGGACGAATGATGGGCATACTCAGTAGACTGGTCTCACTAGCAAGAGCCGGGGAGCACTTGTATATTACAGTTTCCGAGTGTGACATTAACTATAGCGTTGAGGACGCTGAAGGGGAGGAGGCTCCCGATATTGATGCCTGCGATACTTAAGTTTCTGAGGACGCTGCAAAGGCAAACTCTAGCATTAATACCAAGACCGGCAAGAATGCTGCAACATCCCGGGTTATTCGGCTGAAAAAGGCAGACTGTTAGGTTTGTGGTGGGGCAAGAAGGCGGAGGCGGGGATTGAGCGCTAACCAAAGTAAACAAGACAAGGGTAAGGGAAAGAAGAACAGTTGTTACTGAAGCCTTGAAAGCCATAGCTGCAACTTAACACCTTAAACTTGCTAAACTGCTATAGAATTGTATGGAAGTGAAATGAGAGTGGTGATCCAAATGGTAAAAATGCAAAGGTATTTATAGAAGGAGATGATCAACTTTCAAGTTGCTTAGGGTTCGAGATTTTTTGTAATGACATTAGCATTGCTACATGCAAAGAGACATACGGTATTTTTAATTTAGCCCCTTCGAATTTTTTAAAATTCTCAATAACTTTTATTTACTTAATAATTTTAATTAAACCTCTTTCTAAAATTTTTAAAAGTCAGCTGTATTAATATAACTACTTGGATGCATAATGACTAATTAAGGCATAGCTCACAATTGATAGGTCTGTTTTACAATGTTTGGAAGAGATTGTGCAAACAATTTTCCACTAGTTGATGAATTTTTAAAAAAAAAAGTTTATTAAAAATATTAAATACAATAAATAATACTCCCTCTGTCCAATAAAAACTGTCCATTATTGACTTTTTTATCAGTTTTTTTGTATTTTGTCTAATTATTATTTAAAATTTATAATTAATAAAAATATATAAAAATATATTTTTAAAAATCTTTAATCAAGTAGTTTTCAAATATATATTTTATAAAATTTAATTATTAAAATATTTAAAATAATCAGAGTCAAAGTTTAAATTTTTTTATTTTTTATAAGTTAACAAGAGACAGATTTTATGGGACGGAGCTAGTATCATTTATCATAACAACTTAATATTATTATTTTTAAAATATTATAATTATTTATTTATTTTTTATTAAAATGTTATTTCTATAATTTTATTTAAAAAAATATTAAGATTGGTACATTTTATTGAAATAAAAATATTATAAATTATATTAATTATTTATTAAAGTAATAATATTTAATATATTTTAAATATCTTTATTAAAATATTATTAGATTATGATATTAATATTAAATACATAAATAATATTATAAATTATTAATAATTTAATAATATTATTTCTATGAAACTAATAAATAATGAAAATATCATTAATAACTTATTATATATTATTAAAATAAAATATAAAATCTTATATTATATTATTATAATATAATTGAGTATTTTATTATAATATTAAAAATATAATATTATATTATTAGAAATGTTAATAAATATATGTTAATAATTAATATTTTGATTAAAATTATATTGAAATATTTTATTAATATTAAATTCATAAAATAAAATTATTTTGATTATTTTATTAATATTAAATTCATAAAATAAATTTAAAAGTCGTAAGAAGGCATTCTGCAATACAGACTATAGAGCTACCCACATTAATATTCTCCTTAAATGTGAAATTAAATTAAGAGTTTAATAAGCATTTAAGCTGTAACATCTTGACTTTTCGTGATTAAATTTTTTTAATTTAAATGTGAAATTAAATTAAGAGTTTAATAAACGTTCAAGTTGTATCATCTCGACTTTTCGTGATTATTTTTTTAATTTTTATTATTTAAAATTTATTATTAACAAAAAAATCAAAAATATATTTTAAAAATATTTTCCCGAATAAATTTTTAAATATTAAAATTTAACTATTTAAAATAATTGTGATTAAAGTTTAAAACGTTTTATCAATAATGTCAAAATCTTTACAAAAGTATAAATTACTATGTGAATAATTTAATTTTTTTGATATATGAACGATTTGAAATTCCATCATATTATAAATCATATATTTAATCTTAAAGATTCAATTTTCAAAAGTTAATTGCACGAACCAACTTAATTTAGCGGTTAAAAAAATCATTATTGTTCATAGACATTACCGGTCCAAGCACCAACAATTACAGCAGGGTGATTGAGCGTTCATTGTGAAATGATTGAGAGTATTTAGAGCATATATTACTTTATAGTCGCATTAGCTTAATAAAAATCCAAAAGTTGATTGAGTAAGCACCTCTAGCTGGTCTGATTGTTCATTTTAGTTTTCTCATATTTTTTAAGTTATGGGTTTTAGACCCAATAAGACTATTCTCCTTCCCTCCTTGGAGACTAACCTCGCTTCCTACTTTCCCTCCTGCTTAGATTTAGAACTTTAAAAAAAATTCAAAAGTTAATAACCACAAATTAATCTATCATTATTTTATTATGCAAACAGAGCATAATACATATAGATATTGCTTATTAAGTCGGAGCTTGCAAAAAAATATCGTAAAATCCAGGACTATTAGTGATTGTTTCATTGTTGTGTCATAACCAATAAACCATCCACAGCAGTTCAGGCACAAACTAAAAGATCTGGTAAAAGTAAAGGCTGAAGCATTGATGGGCATACTCACTGGCATGCGAAACCTCGGGGCACTTTCCTACCACAACCGTTGAGTATAAGTCCAACCATACAGGTAGGGCTTCCGATGCTCCGGATTTTGAGAGCTGTACTACAAATGCAAACTGCAGCATCAAGATCAAAGAGACTACTACCAGCAATGAAGGCGCAGCATCTGCTGCTTACCTTAGGAAGCACTGCAAAGCAGACTTCTAGGCCAGGGCATAAACTTGGAAGTGGAGCGGGAACCGAAGTTAGAGCTTGAGAGCTAAAGAAAAGAATGTTGAGGTAAAAAAGAAAAACAGTCGTTGTTGAAGCCTTGGAAGCCATAAGTGCAACACAACACCTCAAACTTGCTAGTTGCTACACTGCTGTTGAATTGTATGGTATGGTGAAATGCAAGTGGTGATGCAAATAGTACGAAATGCAAAGGTCTTTATAGAAGGGGGTTAATGGGTTATCAGGCTTTCGAGTTGCTTCGTGTTTAAGATTACCTTTTGACGACGTCGACATTGTGGCATGTACGTACGAGACATGGGAGTCATACCTAAATAAATTTTTTCTTTTTTTGGATAAATGTTGAATTTGATTCATCCAAAAAGAACTTCCCTGTACAAGTCAATTTACGAAAACAAAACACCTCATCTAGCAAAGATCCTCCCTGTACAAGCCAAATTACAAAGAACAAAACACCTCACCTCTAAACACCATAATAAAGAATAGAAAGAAAAAAATAAATCCTATAATAGATCCCATTCAGTAGCAAGTACCGAAGACCTGCCTCGAATTCACCCTTTTAACCTCAACGTAACAATACTCTTTAACAGAGAAACCATACCCTCAATTCCTCTTGGACTAACTCCATGCAATCTACCATTCCTCTCCTGCCAAATATGGTAAATATGAAAACACCAAACAACACGAATGATGGTTCCCCAATAAGGTTTTTCCTTTACCATGCACTACAACCCAACTCACCATGCACTACAACCCAGCTCACCATATCACTCCAACAAATCCCAAACCAACTAATATGACAGGCTTGTAAAATACTAGACCAAACCTGCCTAGCAAAATTACATTCAACAAATAAAATGGTCCATATTTTCAAAATCATAACCATAAAGAATACAAGAGGGATCAATATGACCCCCCAACAAAGCAAGCGAACCTTTGTTGGCAAGCGATCATCTGTGTTAGGGAGGTAGTTGGGAGTGTTTTTTTGATATGTCCATGAGTTTGATTTCTTGGCTTTAGAGGCGTTTTTGGTGGATTATGTTATTCTAAGGCTTAATGTGTTGTTCTTAAGGTTCTTTGTTCTTGAGGAAGGTGGAGTGAGGATGTCCTAGTTTTGTTGTAACATATGGTTTTTAAGGATTGAAAGATTGTATTGTGGAAGCAATTTTGAATTGTAGGTGAATCTGTGGAGGCTATAGCTTGATCAATTTGGATTGCCTAGGGGGGTCTTGCACATTTCGTTTCTCTCAAAGCTGTGTTTTCGATTCTTGCTTAGAAATTAACGAATTAGGGTTGTTCATGGTATCATTGAGTTTTTGATCTGCTATTCATATTTGGTTGGTATATAGGCTTTTCCTTGAGCATTTTCAATGCTTTACAGGTGTTGGGTGTGCTGTCCTGAGTTTTTCTCTTGCGTAGGAGGATGCTTAATTTTCAGTTTTGGTCTTATCTGTGGAGGCATGATGGTGGATTGGTCGTTTGGTTGGTGATTGTTGGTTTGTTGAAAACTTATTTTCTTCATGGATGGTGGCTTTGAATAGAGCTTAGTGTTGGTTGCATCCTGTATTTAGTACGGTAGAGGTTTCTTCTTCGAGATTTTCCTATGGTTGTCCACTCTGGAGCTTTTGGAATTGCTTTTGTTGTCTCTGTTCATTTTTACTGTCTCTGTATGCGCTGATGTAGTCGACGAAGCCTTTTCGGTTGGAATTGTTATGTTGTTTTTAGTTGGGTGCAATTTTTGCTTAGTTTGGTCAGTTGGAATTATTTTTTTGGAATTGTCTCTGTTCGCTTTTGTTGTCTCTATATGACTGGCTTTCGCTTTTGGTATGTTTGTTTGTATTGTTATCTTATGTAACACTCTTTTCCTCCAATTAGATTAGGGACGTTTTTAACGAGGCTCATAAATTGTTCTTCGTCTCTTGATTTTAATAAATCTTCATTCCTATAAAAAAAAAAAGAAGAGCCTACCATGAAATGAACGAGTGCTTGGGGATAAATAGACCACACTAGATAATCCTGCATCAGGGACCTTATCCTGCTTGCACCAATTCACTTCCCAAACATTCTTTGCATGATAGCTCTCATCCAAACCACCCACAAGAGCATAGTCATCCCTCAAACCCAAAATTTTCTTCCATGCCCAAGTATGATTACTTTTCAACTGGGTCTGTCAATGCGAACACACCTTTAAAACATATTCCCTGGTCCAAAAACGCGACCGCGACCGTAATTTGAATCCCTGATCCACAACGATTCAAACACAAACTAAAATTTGTAGTAAAAAGTAAGCGATAGAGTATCGATGGACGAATAATGAGCATACTTGGGATATTGATTTCACTAACAACTGAAATCGGGGTGCAGTTGCAGATCACAGTTTCTGAGTGCGGTTCTAACGGTAGCATTGAGGAAGTCGACGTCAAGGATATTGATTTCTCTGAGAGCTTTGCAAAGGCAAACTGCAGCCCCACCAACAAGATCACCAAAAAAGAGGCAACACTCCGGGCTAGAACGACCAAGGTGTCACGGACTTAGCCTAGTTGGTTCGGTTGCTAATCCGTGTGGCACTCGAAAGGGACGCTTCCCAACCAAGTCAGCCTTAATCTCGTAGATCTGATCAAGCATAAACAAACATCGCGTTAGATCTTTATAGCCACATGGTCCTTCGACCAATAATCCGAGCCCGTGGGGCATAGCGGATGCACACCTCAACCCCCGGACTTCTCCGAGAGAAAAATGTTTTATTAATAAAAGAAATATCGGGTTACAGAAGACTCACCCACACCACCGATTAGGCCGTAGGGGCGGCCCTCGATGGTGTTCACAAGACACATACCTTTACCTGTGGATCAGCCCAAACTCTGCCGGCTGTCCACCCCCTACATATATGCGAAAACAAAATAACAGAAATGCTACCTATAGACGTTGAAATGCTCGAACAGGGGACAGTAAGTCATACCCCTACTCCCTACCTAAAACATTAAAATGCTTGAAAAGAGGACAAGCTTGTTCTACCCTGCCACTAGGCCCTATACATGGTTGGCCTTGGCGTACCTACCCGGTTGTGGCCCCATAAAAGGGACGGTCACGACAATCTCCCCCACCTAATTTGTCGACGTCCTCGTCGACTGCTTGGCCTGAAACTCTTCAATCTGTTGCTTAAATGCCCTGAGATCATACTCTCTTTCCCAAGTGTTCTCTTCCTGATCAAAGCCTCCCCACTTGACTAGATACTCCCGTCTTTGCTTTCCACCCACCTTAACAATTCTCCCTGCTAGAATCTTGTCAACATGACGCTGTGAGGGTGGTTGTGTGCCGATTGACTCCCTGTCAGACATACTCTGATTATCGATATTGGGATCGGTGTGAAACGGCTTCAAATTGCTCACATGGAAGACAGGGTGAACTCTCATCCAAGTAGGGGTCAACTTTGTACGAAGCATTCCCCACCTTTGCTACTATTGAGATTGGACCCTCGTACTTACGCACCAAGCGACCCTCTGGCGTAAAAATCTAAGTTGTTCTGGCATCAACTTGACTAGCACCAAATCTCCAACCTGAAAGTGTAGGTCTCGCCTGTTACGATCTGCGCATTTCTTCATACGCTTCGTTACTTTCTCTAAGTAAGCCTTGGCAATCTCCATATTCTGCTTCCACTCCCCACAAAATTTGAGGCACGAGGGCATCTACCTTGAGAGGTCATCCACAGTGTGAGGAAGTCTTGGCTGCTGACCTGTCACAGTTCAAAAGGGCTTTATTAGTAGACGAACTCTTTTGTGAATTAAAACATAATTGCGCCACATCCAATAATGGAGGCCAGTTCTTTTGATTGGCCTGAATAAAGTGCCTCAGGTACTCCTCTAAGAGTCCATTAAATCGCTCAGTCTGACCATCTGTTTGAGGGTGGTAACTCGACGAAAAGTTGAGTTGTGTCCTAATAACTGGAACAATCCTTTCCAAAATTTCCCAATAAATCTTCCATCTCGGTCACTGACTATGCTCTGAGGAATGCCCCAATATTTCACCACATGTTGAACACCAACTTAGCAGTCTCTTCCGCCGAACAATACTTTGATGCTGGTATAAAAGTGGCGTACTTCGAGAACCTGTCCACTACCACCAAAATTGATCCCAGATCTCCTACTCGAGGCAAGCATGATATAAAATCCAAGGAGATACTCCCAAGGTCGGGGGGTACAGGTAGTGGCTCGAGCAACCCAGCAGTCCTCTGTCGATCTACCTTATCTTGTTGACAGATAAGACATGTCTTGGTGTAATCCATCACATCTTGGCGCATTTGAGGCCAATAATACCCTTGTCCCAACAAAGCAACAGTACGCCTCCAACCCTGATGCCCGGCCCATGGGGTATCATGACATTCCTTCAACAGCTTCTGTCGTAGGTTTCCAGCTCGAGGAACAAACATTCGTGGCCCTTTTGTCATCAATAAGCCATTTCTATCCAAAAACATTTCGAAACACCCTTTTTAACCATCTCCATAAGGGCCTCCACTTGCGGATCTTGCTTGGAAAAGTTCACAAGGAGCTGACGAATTTCATTAGACACTCTACTAGCGGATATAGGGGCCACACATCGGAGTGCTGCCAAATCTGCCCTGCGACTCAAAGCATCAGCAACCTGATTCTTTTTCCCCGCCTTATGCTCAAAGTTGAAGTCAAACTCGGCCAGAAACTCTTGCCATCTAGCTTGCTTTGCTGTTAGTTTCGGTTGTGTAAGGAAGTGGCTAACTGCTGTATTATCGGTCTTTACCACAAATTTGGAACCCAACAAATAATGCCTCCAAATCCTCAAGCAATGAATTACTGCGAGAAGTTCTTTCTCTGGAGCCGTATATCTCGCTTCAGTTTCATTTAGCTTCCTACTCTCAAACGCCACGGGATGTTTGTCTTGTAAGAGTACGCCTCCAATTGCATAGTCGGATGCGTCTGTCTCTACTACTAGAGGTTTTTCCAGGTCTGGTAAGGTAAGCACTGGTTCACTGATTACAACCTTCTTTAAATCGTCCAAGTAGATGACTACGAATTTATCGAGATAGTCATGGAACACCTGGTTCATTAAAGTGCAGAAAGTAGCGGGAGCATTGGTTAGTCCAAAAGGCATAACGAGAAATTCAAATGCTCCATACCGAGTTACACATGTCGTCTTTGGCTCATCCCCTTCGGCCACTCTCACTGATGGTATCCCGACCTGAGATCCAACTTCGTGAAATACTTAGCATTACTCAGCTGGTCGAACAAATCAGCAATCAACGGAATGGGATATTATTCCTGACAGTCACTTTGTTTAATGCTCTATAATCAACACATAATCTCAAACTCCCATGTTTTCTCTGGAATAACACAGGTGCCCCGAAAGTGACTTCGAGGGTCGAATAAATCCTGCTTGGAGCAACTCCAACTGTTTCCTCAACTCTGCCAACTCCGGAGGACTCATCCGATATGGGCATTTTGCAGGAGGTTTTACTCCCGGAATTAATTCAAACCCCTCTCTTAAATTGGATAGCGGACAATATCTTCTTCCCAGGACGAGGGAGAATCGTAGCTGGTACCACACATGGCTGCTCCCCCATGAACATTAAACAACTTGATGCCGGAACAGGAATCACCTGGGATGCCATCATAAAATCGAGCCCTAACACCACGTCAAAATCATCCATATGGGAAACAGTGAAATCTACACTTCCTTCCCAAGACCCAAGCTTGATACTGACCCTCTTCACACCTCCACATATCATTGAAGCGGTAGAGTTAACTGCTTTCATTTGTCCCACCTCCTTGGTTACAATCAACTTACATCTCTCCGCTTCCTCAGGAGAGATAAACGTATCTGTGGCCCCTGTGTCGACTAGAGCTTTAGAGGTTTTCCCATTTACTGAGATGTCCACATACATCAATCCCCTCTCTGGTTCTTTCCTCAAGTTACTCAACTGAGACTGTAATGCAGTTATGAATCGGATGGAGCCCATTCTAGCCGGCTCAGGCTCAGTATCTCCCATCGGAGCGTTCACTCTTTCTCCGTCCTTTGTTGTTGCAACCATGGCATTAAAAGCACTTCGTTGTGGACACTCTGCAACCCGATGAGGTCCATTGCAAAGAAAACACCTTAACGAGGGTCTATTCCCTCCATTGCTCGATCCAGGACCAGTAGGACTTTATTTTGAGCTGGGTCCCTTCCAGGGACTCTTCTATTTGCTCCCCAACTCGATGTCTTCTCCCCTCGAGCCAACTTGTTCCCGCTAACCTGTTGGGTGTTAGCTCCACTCACAGAAGGTGTCTTGCGCTTTCCAGGATGATCGTTATAATCATTAAGGCACTCGGCAGCAGCTATCGCTACTGTCAAATCTTGAACCTTCTGTCTCTGCAACTCGAGTCTAGCCCATGGCTTGAGCCCTTCAAGAAAATGAAACAACTTATCTCTTTCTGACATATCCTTTATATCCAACATCAAGGTTGAGAACTCTCTCACATACTCCCGTATAGTCCCAGTGTGGGATAATTCCCTTAGCTTCTTACGAGCGTTGTAATCAACATTCTCGGGGAGGAAGGAGGTCTTCAACTCCTTCTTTAACGCATCCCAAGTAGTAATGGAGCACACTCCATCTTTGAACTTGGACCGCCACCATAACTTGGCGTCACCACCTAAATACATCGAAGCCATTGCCACCTTATCTTCCTCAGACTCCGTGCGCATAGCCCGAAAATACTGCTCTATGTCAAATAAGAAATTCTCAAGCTCTTTAGCATCCCTCGCTCCATCAAAGCGTTGAGGATCAGGGATCTTGGCTTGTATGCCCACTCTTTCAATATGGTTTGCGGTCAAACTAGCTACCCGCCTGAAGCACACTGACTTGAGCCTTCAGCTCATCATACCCAAGTTGTATCACGCCTATGGCATCTCTTGCCTCATTGCCCAAATCAGTCACTGTCTCAAGCAAATCTTCTTGGGTCTCTCTCTCTCCTCATACGATCACCAGATATCATATGAGCTCTAAGGGCAGCTAGTGCGGCTTCGATCTCTTCTAGCTTCCGTCGATCAACCGAACCAGTCTCTTGTATAACTGGCTCGGTAGCTTCCTGCTCTACACCTCTGTGAGAGCTTGTCGATCCGCCATTTCGTGTGCGAACCATTCTTGTAACTCGCTGGCACCCCTATGCCTGCAACACAAATAAGCACAATCGTGCCTAAATTAGGAAGGAAAAGAGCACCGCTGTGCTGAATCCATAGCACCTCTGTGCTAGAATTAACGATTGAGCACCTCTGTGCTTCAATCGAGAGCTGACACCTCTGTGTAGCCAAAAGTGATTGAGCACCTCTGTGCTTCAATCGAGAACTGACACCTCTGTGCAGTTAAAAAAAAAATTGACTGAGCACCTCTGTGCTTCAGCCGAGAGCTGACACCTCTGTGTAGCTAAGATGATTGAGCACCTCTGTGCTTCAATCGAGGACTGACACCTCTGTGCAGCCAACTATGACTGAGCACCTCTGTGCTTCAATCTAAATTTTGGCACCTCTGTGCATTGGAATGATTGAGCACCTCTGTGCTACAATCTAAAATTAAGCACCTCCGTGCTTTTACAAATGACCGAGCACCTCCGTGCTGCGGCCTGAGGTGAAGCACCTCTGTGCTAGGTTTAGCACTTGTGCACAGCTGTGCCACAAGCAGGTAACAAGCACTATCATGCTTTACTCAACAAAATGAGCACCTCCGTGCTTTTTAGTAAATGAACACGCACCTCTGTGCTCTGATACCAAGTGTCACGGACTTAGCCTAGTTGGTTCGGTTGCTAATCCGTGTGGCACTCGAAAGGGACGCTTCCCAACCAAGTCAGCCTTAATCTCGTAGATCTGATCAAGCATAAACAAACATCGCGTTAGATCTTTATAGCCACATGGTCCTTCGACCAATAATCCGAGCCCGTGGGGCATAGCGGATGCACACCTCAACCCCCGGACTTCTCCGAGAGAAAAATGTTTTATTAATAAAAGAAATATCGGGTTACAGAAGACTCACCCACACCACCGATTAGGCCGTAGGGGCGGCCCTCGATGGTGTTCACAAGACACATACCTTTACCTGTGGATCAGCCCAAACTCTGCCGGCTGTCCACCCCCTACATATATGCGAAAACAAAATAACAGAAATGCTACCTATAGACGTTGAAATGCTCGAACAGGGGACAGTAAGTCATACCCCTACTCCCTACCTAAAACATTAAAATGCTTGAAAAGAGGACAAGCTTGTTCTACCCTGCCACTAGGCCCTATACATGGTTGGCCTTGGCGTACCTACCCGGTTGTGGCCCCATAAAAGGGACGGTCACGAGCAGGCTCTTGCATCTGTGGTGGAGCAAGAAATCGAAGGGGCCGGAGCTTGAGAGCTAACCAAACTAAACAAGACAAGGTTAAGGGAAAGAAGAAAGAGAATCGTGGTTGAAGCCTTGAAAGCCATAACTGCAGCACAACACCGTAAAACTTGCTAAACTCCTGTTGGATTGTACGGTGCAATGAAATGAGAGTGGTGATGCAAATGGTCAAAAATGCAAAGGTATTTATGGAAGGCGATGATCACACTTTCGAGTTGCTTAGGGTTTAAATTGAATAAATTTGGTTTGAAATTAATAAATGTGAATTTTGGAACCAATTTAATTTTTTTAAAGATTATGGGATTAAATTGAATTAAATAGAAAGTTTGGAGGATTTAATTGAAAAATTTGATAAAAATTGAGGATTAAAATGAATTCGGGTTTAGATGAAAAAGCTTGTGTTAAAATGCTTTCAAAGTTCAGGAGCCTCTGAGTTAAAATATTTTAGATTTGTATTGTTTAAAAATTTTGGATCATTCGGATGACCAACTATTACAGTCGTAGACTTGTCGGAAATTGTTTATTGAGTCTAGAGTACAAATCTAAATTATTATTTTGTTGAGAAGAAAAATTTTCTGTTTTAATATTTTGTTTATAAATTTAAAATTACAATAAAAGTCGAAAGAGGACAGAATATAAACTATAGAGTTGCAAACAAAATAATTTCGTATGAAATTCGATCATCAATATAGACTGTTGTTGTCGCAGTAGGGAAACGGTTTAAAATTTTACACATCAAACATTTAAAATGTAATACAACACATTTAAAATTGTATCAAACATGTACGAGCTAACTTATCTTAGAGTTCAAAGGAATAGTCGATGTTTCTTGAAGTCACAAGTTTAAACATCAACGATTGTAGTAAGGTGATTGAACATTTATTTCTCTATGGATTTTTTTCTATTAATCTGGAGTGCTTATAAGCGATAGTATATGTTTTAAAGACTTTCAATTATTTAATAATGATTCGTAGGGATTAAACTAATACAATCCTTATAATAAAAGGATCTGACAAATACTTTTACCTTTTGAGAAAATTTGTCCATAATTGTATCTTATAAAAAATGATAAACAAGATATCGATAGATCAATAATTATATTCATAACCACATATTAACACATCATTTTATCACGCAAACAAAACACAGTACACACATACATTACTTGTTACGTTGGAACTTACAAATAAGTATTGTAAAATCCAGGATTATTTATGATTGTTTAATGGTTACGTACTAACCAAAAAACAATATACAACAATTGAAAGTCGAAACAGAAACTAAACGTTATGGTAAAAATAAACGATAAGAGTATCGATGGACGAATGATGGCCATACTCAGTAGACTGGTCTCACTAGCAAGAGCCGGGGAGCACTTGTATGGTACAGTTTCTGAGTGTGACATTAACTATAGCGTTGAGGACGCTGAGGGGGAGGAGGCTCCCGATATTGATGCCTGCGATACTTAAGCTTCAGGACGCTGCAAAGGCAAATTCTAACATTAATACCAAGACCGGCAAGAATGCGGCAACATTCCGGTTTATTCGGCTGAAAAAGGCAGACTATTAGGTTTGCGGTGGGGCAGGGAGGCGAAGGCGGAGTCGGAGGCGGGGATTGAGCGCTAACCAAAGTAAACAAGACAAGGTTAAGGGAAAGAAGAACAGTCGTTACTGAAGCCTTGAAAGCCATAGCTGTAACACAACACCTTACACTTGCTAAACTGCTATAGAATTGTATGGAAGTGAAATAAGAGTGGTTATCCATATGGTGCAAGAGCAAAGGTATTTATAGAAGGAGATGATCAGGCTTTCAAGTTGCTTCGGGTTCAAGATCTTTTTAATGACGTTAGCATTTCTGCATGCAAAGAGACGAATGGTATTTTAATTTATCCCCTTCAAGATTTTTAAAATTCTCAAATGCTTTTTTTTTATTAATTTTAAGTGTAAAGCTCACATATGATCCCCTGATTATATGATGTTGCTTTCTTGAGTCCCGACTATTAAAAGTTACAAAATGATCCCTCAACTATAGGGTGTTGCTTCGTTGAGTCCCTTGACTATTAAAAGTTACAAAATGGTCACTCGATCATTCATTATGTTCAAAACTCGTCCATTTCCGTTAAAAAAATTGACAACATATTGAGTTGGACGTTAATCTGATGACTAGGATATGATAAAATCTGATATTAAACTCAAACAATTATCAAATCTCAGTAAGTGTGTTAAAATCTAACACAGACAACTGTTAACTTTTTTAACAGAAAAAATATAAGTTTACAAAACAATGAATAGTTAGGTGACCATTTTGTAATTTTTAATAATCAATTGACTCAATAAAGCAACATCCTATAATTGAGGGGTCATTTTATAACTTTTAGTAATTGGAAGACTAAACAAATCAACATCTTACATAGATGTATAATGACTAATTAAGGCATAGCACACATTTGTAAATATATTTCTACTTCTTCTCTTTCTTGAGATTGATAGATTCTATTTAGGTTTACTCTTTGTTAAGATTGATAGATTGTATTTAGGTTTAGTCATAGGTTATATGATTAAGTTTAATTTTTTTAGATACTATTTTGGGTTGGATAAAATTAGTAAAAAGTAGTATATCTATTAATTTCTTACTCGGTATCTTATTCTTCTCTATTAAACATGCACTTAAATAT